CCCAAATAAGGTATTATATGGATCTATATGATAAAATGCAAATAGAAGTGGGGCTGCTATTATTACTAGAGGACCCAGTGTCCTACTTGGTGACTCTCCTCCTACTTGCCTGAGCCATATCAGTGGGATCTAATCCAGCCCTGTATGTCATTCATTCTGCAGATGAGGAAATTAAAGCTCAAGGAGATTAAAGTCAGTCACGCAATTAGTGTCAGAGAAAGAGCCTAGAGCCGAGGACTCAGGACTGTCGTCCAGTGTCTTCCTACTGGACAACAGCACCTCCAACCGCCAACCACTTCAATTACCACCAATCATATTCTCTCCCTGGGCCATGCAGCCAACCAGCCTTTCAGGCCTTCGTCCCAGGCTCCCCGAATGTGAGGGCAGGTGTTCTATGAGTTTGGCATCTTTACCTGTAGGTGGACATAATCATAATCATCCATCCAGCTCCTCTCAGAGCCATCACTGCTGCTGCAGTCAGGTGGCTGCTCCTTGCCCAGGCTTGAGGGCAATGGCTTGCTGTGGGCCTGGGCCTTCTGGTCCCCAGGAGGCAGCAGCTGCATCTGGGAGGCCCTGTGTGGGAACTCAGTTGAGTTCATGATGCTCTCGGGCCCATTCTTCAGATGTGAGCTGCCTGGGCCTGGTCTGAACAGGGATTCTGCGTTGGTGTTGATGGTTGTGGTGAGCTGCTTGGTGTCATCCGGCACTGTCTTTGCCACCATCACAAACCGGTCAAGGTCATCACACTTGTTGTGGGGCTTGTTGATGGCCAGGATATTCAGGGACCAGCTGCACTCATTTAAGTCATGGCTGGTCTGGCTTAGGATCTGGTGGGAGTCCTCGACTCTTTGGAGCTCCCGCTTCATCTTGTTGTGGAGGACGAGTTCTGGGAGGCGGGAGGCATTTGCTACGGCTCCCTTGGAGAAATGGAGGTACTCCCTGAGGAACAGCTCCACCTTGTCCACCGCGGTGCGTATCTCATTGACGTGTCTTTCCATGTATCCGTAACACCGCCAGTCTGTGGTCACCAGCGCCATCAGGCTGGAGACGCCCATCTCCAGGGCCTGCTGGAGCCGGTGAAGTCTCTCGATGGCTGTGTCTGGATCCAGGAAGAGCCTTTTGTCCTGAGATGGGGAGGCTGACAAGGAGGACTCCTTGGAGGAGGTGGAGGACGTGGACATGTTACTCCTCGTACTGCCCGTGCTGGAGAAAGACAGCCGGTTGATCCCATCCACCACGTCCCGAGTGCCCTTAGCGTCTGGTGGGTTGTGCAGAGGGACATCGTACACACCGTCTCTGTCTTCAGGACTTGCTTTCTCACCAGTTTCTGCTGCTGGCTCAAGAAACTGGACTCCCCGGGGAACATCATAGGCATCGCTCTGAACGCCCATCGGTGGTCCCAGCGGTGGAGGCGGGTAGTTCAGGGGCAGGCCTGGGTGTCTCCACGCCACTGCTTCAGCAGCTCCTGGAACATCACAGTTATATGTGATGGGAAGGTCCTTCCCCAATGGCTTGGTGTTGGTTGGGGGGATGTCATAAGCCCCCTCGGGCCTCACGTCCGGCCTTCCAGCTTGTCTCACTGGAGGTGGGAAGTCATACTCTTTTTCCTTGAGCCGTGCTTCGTCTCGGCAAGCGGAAGGTGGAATGGCATATACCTGAAAAAGAGGAAGAAAACACATCACCTGCTCAGCTGGCTCGTGGAACACGCAGAAACCGAACCATCTGTGAAAAACCCAGCCCAGAATGCTCAGTCCTCTGTCTTCCGCCCCTACCCACAAATAGCCTCTCCCGAGGCTCGGCTCTGCTGTTCTCACTTCCTGGATCCTCGGCCTCGGTACTAGTGCACGTGTGGAACCTTCCTGGCTGAGCTGCTCTCCCATGTTTCTGACCATCTTCTGGGAATCCTTCCTCCGCTGACCCCTGCCGAGAGGGAGTTTACACTACAACACACTGCACTGGGTGTCAGAAGACCT